CTGGGAACATCTGATGGGCCATAGCCATGCACTGGAATGCTGGGGGTTTTTGTCATGCTGCAAAATGGAACAAACTCACTGGAAAACAATAGAGAAAGAAAACAAGATCATTTGTTGTTGTTGTTGTGGGGAATTTTTTTAGCTCTGCGCCATCTAAATATGTTGTGTATTTATAATTATGTAAGCCAGAATAAACCAGCTACAGAAAAATGTCCAAAATTTTGGATTAATGATTTGCATACCTGGGCCAGGTATCATACCTTACCATGTCTTGGGCTTCCTCCCTTTCTTTGGTGAAATCCCCAAACTTTGCCTGAGACCATGCTGACAGATGAAGTGTGAGTTCTGCAAATCTTCCTGAACCAAATCACATCAACCTCAAGTGGGTTTTTCTAAGAGGTCAAGATGACCAAGTGCCCTGTCAAAATGCTGATGGACTGGTCAATGACCAGTGCAAAAAGCCAAGGCTGGATGGCCACACAGTAGCTCTGGAAAAGCTTTCCTCTCTCCTTGATGCCATTCCTTGCTGAAAACCAGGAAGAACTCTGTCTAACAGCATATAAAACAACAGATCACCAAATTACTTGAAGCAAACAAAGGTTTTGGTGATACAGATTGCTTTAAAAATATACTTGTGCCTTCAATGCAAGTACAGCTCTCACATACCCTCTCCTCTTTCTATCTGTCTAGGGACATATTCCAAACTCATAAGGGATTGAAGCATTACTCTTTTAGGGGATCAGGTTTCTCTCTGAGAAATTTGGGAATTAAGACAGAAAATGCTTGAACAATACCTTTGTTATTACTGGAACATTTCTTAACTGTGATAGTTCAGAGAAATCTTAGCAGAGTGTTACCAGAAGTGTAAAATGAATCCAGGTAAAATAGCTTTTGCAGAGAAGGTACCAAATGTTTTTGGATTTCCTGTCATGGCACATGCTTTCAAATCTTTGTAGGGGAAATCAAAGAGACTGGGAGGAAAGAACTACTAGCCAAACACTTCTGGTGTTTATAACAGGTGTACAGAAGGTACATAATTTGCTACAGCCTTTGCAAGCTTCATTAGTATACAAAGACAATGACCTAAAATAAGCAATGTTTTTAGAATTATATTGCCTCATTTTTCAAAGCTTTGGCAATGTTGGGCACTTTTAACCAATTTGGCAGGAGAGCTTTTAAATTTAGTAAGTTCCCTGAAGTTTTATGAGAGCCATTGTATGGGCAGGGAAGAGAGTTCCTAGAGTGAGTGCTGGAGAAGTTGCCTGTGGATATGTTTGGTGTTGCCCAGGCTGATCCTGATAAGGTCTGAGAAAAGTTGCAGGGGCTTCTCCCAAGAAGCACACTGTGCCACAAGAAAAATGGGAAAGTAGGGTAGGAGTAGCTAAGGATGTGAGTCTGAGGGCAAGAATATGGCTTCTCTCCTTCCAACAAGATTGTTCTATTCTGCTAATGAAGTAATCTTTAAACCAGCTTTTTGCAACAGCTCACTAAAGAGCTGTTCTCCTCTCCTAACTACTATTTAACAAAGTGGAAATCTCAATTTTCTTCTTCTGTATGAAGCAATGAACCTGTCTTTCTGTCTGCACCACAGCTTTCTTCTTTAATACACATCACCCAAAGCTCATCTGTGTGGTTCCTCAAAACCCCTTGCCTACCTTCATGTTACCTAATATCATAATCTCACTTATTTGAAATGGTTTGTCTCTGTAGTTAAATCTTATCTTTATCCCCTTAGGGATCTTATCTGTCCTACACTTGTGGCCCCACTTCCTCTTCTGGTGAGCCCCTGGAGTGCTTTATGCCTTTCCATGGAACTGTTTACAAGCTGCTTTTGAGGGCACAGCTGTCACTATAAGACTAAAATTGAATCCAAAATCAACTAAATATAGCTGTTCCACAGGGAACCATCTTTACTGATAAAGCAAATAAATTACAGGAAAAAATAGAGATCTAGAACATAAGTCCTGTACAGCCAAAACCTGAACAATGGCTAAAAAAAAAAAAAAGGTTCAATACAGCCAGGGAAAAAACCCAGCAGTGTGGCAAACAAAGCAGTGCAGTTCAGGCAGACTTGCCTTTCCTCCTATCCAGGTGAGATGCAGCCTGGGCTTTTCAGTGCAAGAAGTCAGGGTTACTGCTGTGTGCACACTGAGGGTCACAAGGAAGTCAAGGCTAGAGTGAATAATATTCCACACCAAATTCACCACTAGCTGTGCCAATAATGGGCATACAACAAAGGAATCGCACAACTCCTCTCCTTAATTCTTGATTTAAAACTGAGATCCTGTGATGAAGTAAACTCTACAGTTTCCCCCTGTTTAATGGGATTTGACAGGGGGCAGGAGAACAGTAAATGAAGAGCCAGCTTTATTTCTATAGCTGCCATTTTCAAACAGTATGGAAATTACAGCCCTGCAATGACTTTGGTGAGTTGTGGAAGGCCAAAGATCAGAAAAGGGATAAAAACCCATTGTGCTGTTCTCTCTTTGTTAACCTGCAGAGTGAGAAGGATGCTGGGGTTGAAAGGTAGATATTATTTTGCATTCATCTTGATGATGTAGAGTCTTTAATATCTTTAAATATCTGACATATCTTTAAGTCATTAACATCAGGGAAATAAGATTTTACACCAAAAAAAAAGAAAAAAAAATCAAAATAGAAGCAGGGGAGCTTGCAGACTCATTTTATACACAGTTTTGCATGGGACCTACCTAGTACAAATGTTGGTCCCAAAATCAAAAGTCAAGTACCTTGACTTTCATTTCACTTGATTCCTCTTCAAAATACTTTCTGACCTTCTGTTTTAAAAATATTTTTCCTCCTCTTCCTGAATGACATAGAATATTATATAATCATTAGGGTTATTATTAGGTTAATCAAAGGAAAGAACCTTTAAGATCATCAAGTCCAACCATCATAGAAAAATAATATTCCAGAATTTAGAGAAAATGGACAGGCTGCTCCCACATTCAGTGCCTGCCCTCATCCAAAATTAGATCCACTGGGAATGTCCATCTTTTCCATTTTCTAATTTGAAGATCTGTCAACAGAGTCAACAAGTGCAAGGAAACTAGGCACAATCAGGAAGTGTAAACCTATACCACAGTCAGATACTTAGATGCTGGGGCTGGAGGGTCCAAATAGCATTTATGAGCTTCTATCAAAAGCTTTTAACTTGGCCAAACTTGGATGGATTTTATTTTTTCTCTTGAAATAGCACAGGATTCCTCCTTGACATGTGCTCCTCCCATTCTCTCATTTTGTTTTATACATAAGGTCTGCTCTGTGAGACACAGAAAATTGTTACCATAATTCTTGGTAAATAGCTAGAATTAGCAGAGCTTTAAACACATACTCACATACACTCTTAAAAAAAAAAATCCAAATTCAGCCATGCACTGGACATGGAATATTTAAGCCCAAATGATAAACAATTATGTGCCTTGTGAGAAAGGAGTGATGAGCAAGCAGATTAATACATTTTAATATTGCAAGCTTTGACATGAACCATTTCAGATTTTGCTTTATCTGTTGTGTTCACTTATCTGTTATGAGACTGGTTAAGTGAGAAAGGCAAATGACATTTTATTCTAGGAGGGTTTACATCTTAACATCTGAAATGCACGATGCTTTTGAAGAGTGTTTAGTACATACTGGAAAACAGTATAAAACACTGTATCTGTTTCTCTGTAACTTCATATCAAATATTATTAATATTGTGAAATAGTAATAATAAGGCTTTCTTTCCTTCATTTTGGTTCATCATCATTAATAAAATGTATGTAGGTCAACCTAGATTTTCATTGACAATTGCATAACCTTACAGACTTGCTAGTGGCTAAAAATAAGTAATTATTCTCCCACACTTTGTTGGGTTTTTTTGGGTTTTTTTTTAATGAAGACCTAGGAAAAAGCAAGTTTTCAGCATATTCTTGGCTGGACTTTTAGAGATGAAAAGATAAAACCAGCAAAGACTCCTGTATTAGTAAAGGAAGCTATTCATCTACCAGGCCACAGAACTGATCAAATGAATGAGCTGAATATAAAGGTGAAAGAAAGATGGGTATTTCAGATAGTCTGAAATGTGGTATTGCTATTGACTGGTGCTGCTGGAAACAGCTGCACCAAATGGTGCAAAGGCAGTGGAGATGGTGAATAATTAGACATTACTAAGGTATAATTTCTTTGTGTTTTAGAAGTGATAGCACAGAGGCAAAGGGTAGGAATCAGCTGGAAGTACTGTACTGGGTATCTATTTCTGTGTAGGTTAAACAAGAATTGTTTTTCCTAATAAAGTCTCTGGAGCTAATCCTGCTGGTCTGCACAACACTCTGTGCATAGTAACAGTGAGTCTCGAGAGGGCCAATGCACCCTGTGCCGCTTTCAAGCCTCCAAGTTTTTGTGTTACTCAGAGAACATGGCTTCTTATATAGCCTGGCCAATCAAGAGATTACAGAAACTCTCCCCATTACTGTTTAGGAAGTGAATTTTCTGCAGAAATGAAAACAGGATGTAAACTAGCACATGTTCTGCAGCACAAAATGTGCTTCCCCTGAAGATCCCTGGTGGGAGTGTACACAGCTTTGGGCCAGAGGGAAGCCTGATAGATGGAGTAGTTAGTTCCCCTTTCTCTTCCCAGTTTCTCTGTAGGAGGGCAAAGCTTTGAGGGGTTATCTGTCATGGTAGATGCAGTGGGGAGGAAAGGAGATGTGGAAAAGGTGTTTATTGTAAGAACTGAGTGAACATACATATTATCTCTAGCAGTACAGCATCCCATTTCCTGTATTCAAATATTTATTAACATTACAACAGAGCCACAGATGTTCAGTTTAATGTTTGTGTAAGGAAATTAGAAGGCTGGAGTCAATAATCTTCCAATTCACAAGTTTTAGGGAAATAAGGATAGTGGAGAATGAAGACAACATTAGGCTAGTACAAAATAGAGTATGAAAGTGCACACAAGCAACATTCCAGGAATCTCATGCAGAGCAAGAAATTACCTTGAATTTCTTGGGGCTCTTTCTGTTCCACTGAAGTAACTGAAACGGACATGGAGAAGTATCTGACCTCCTTGACCTACAGGTGGCTTGAACCTTGCTATTACTTCAGCTAGTGGTGATCTACTGACATGAAGCTCATGAGAGGTGCAGTAACATGGTCATGGTTCAGAAGGAAAAGAGATTTCTGCAACAAAGAAGGGAATTGAGATCTTCAGGGGTGGCACTGATGGTCAAGGGAAGGACAAAGAGCAAAACATGACAGAAAAAGTAGAGAGCACATGTGTAAGTGACCTGATGAAGGTAAAAGCAGGATTCTAGGTTCACATTAGTCTACATAAGTAAACAAGCAGTGAAAGAAAACTTAGCAGTGCTCCACTGAAGGAGCAAAAGTCTTAAACAGAGCCTGAAACAACTACAAAAAATGGAACAGTTGAAAGTGATGGGTTGGTGTGTGTGAAATCTTGAATTGTTCCTTCATTTTCCACCCTCATCAGTCAGATTCCGTTCCTTCTGGTTTTGCTTGGACTCTTTCCCCTTCCCAATCGAATTACTCTGTGGTCACAAATGACTAGTAAAGTTTCCTTAGTATCAATTCTCTCATGATCTGGTCTTCTTTAGATATTGCAGGTGAGAAATGATAACATGGTAGGATATCATATGTGTTTCTTGTCATTGTTTGGGGATTTGGGGGTTTTTTATGGGCTTGGGTTTTTGGGGTTTTCTTTTCAATACAAGGCACATGCAGATTATAATATCTCACATTAGTTCTGCTCTTTCCAAACCAAAATATTCAGTACTAGATAGTGGCCTGAACACTGATGCATACAACTGGCTTTTGATTCAGTGTCAGTGTAACCGAGGAGAACAAACTCCTCTCCAGAGATGTATATTTACATCATTAGCATCTAGACAAGCCAGCTGAGATCAGCTCACTCTTTCTCTAAATATATGCTCTATACACAGCAAGACCATAAAACCTTTGCAATATGAAGATTAAAGACAATCAGCCCTTAATTAACAGTGTGTTAGGGAGCAGGCTGCAAGTTGAAAATCTGAAATACAAGAAAGTCTTTATTCACAGAGACTGAACTGTGGTTTCAGCACACAGTAAAATTACAGTCTTTTACAAATAGCTGTCTGCCAAATGAGTCACAGTAATATCTACATTGACACTCTTTATCTGGCTGTGTAGTCAGGTAATGCAGCTTTGACAGAATCTGTGTGAAAAAAACTACATAATGTGTCCTGGAAGAAATCTGCTTCCATGTAGAAACACTGATAGCATCAAGGAAACTGAATTGACAAATCATTTTATTGACTCCTCAATGTAAAACTCAAATGAGAACAGAAAGTCTTAGAGCATTAGGGAAACAAATTCTGGTGTTTTCTCTACTAAAACATGGGACTTATTTTGGCAGCACCTCAAGCACATGCTCTGAAGCTTCCTGAGATACAATATGAATTTTGGGATCAGAAGATGTGTACAGGGAGAACTGAAAGTCATCTTCTAAGCTGAAAACTCCTAAGTAGGTGAAGTTCATTTCACTGTCCAGTGAACAAGGCACACACCATTTTACACTCCACGTTACAAATTTGGGGCCTTTAGAGAAGTGGAGCGTGCAAGGGACTGGGTGGTAGAAATGCAGTATGTTTAGCTGGGGAACAGGTGGGCAGAAGCTTGAGTCCAGTCTTTGAAGACTGCCATGCCCGCTTATTTTATGCAGATAAATAATCTTGTTTACTTCACTGAGTACCTGATATGTTAAACTCTGTATATCTGTGTGTGCAAGTAAAATGCCTTCTGCTGATCCTGCAGGGACTGTCTGCCCCGGTTGTAGAGCAAAACTGCGTGCAAGCTTGTGTCACTGCCTTTAATCCTCTGTGTGTAATGCATTGTTATGTGACAGCATTGCATCCCATTGAGTATTCCAAAGCATTTATCCACTTCTGAGAACACTTTATTGCTGACCTAATGGTAAGCACACAGAAATGTGGGGAAATGAGCTACTGATCTACAGGTTATAAGATTTAATAAATAGGAATTTTCACAGTCAAGTTGCAATAAATATTGTGGGTCTTCAGCAATGGCAGATTGATCTCACTCTGGTGTGAAACCTAACTGAAATGTATTTTAAAATATCATGAGGTACTATCAGCAGTAATTCTTGCTAAAGTTGCACTGGAAGAGGTGAATAAAGTTTAGCAATTGGGCCTTTACTCAAAATGTAAACATATGATTTAACAGATTGCTGGAACAGATTATATACATAAATAAACCTGGATTGTGTTACTTCTTTAGAATGTTAGCTGAGGTTAACAAATGCTGCATGAAGGAAAAGAAATTGCCAGGGATTTCACTGTCAGCAGTTTAAAATGCATTCACTGCTAATCTCGTGACAAGCGTACAACCAAGCCCAGCTGGACCTGGGGTTCTCAATTGTGCTGGCATTGTGATTGTTTAAAACTGGATTCCAGGCCCATCTCCCTGCTGCTGCCATGCCATAAAAGGACAATTTTTATATCAAACTTATAAAGCATTTGTCATCCTCTAGATTTTAAAGAATTTAAGCAAGTGACATGTGAGTTTAGAATATCAGGAAAGAAGTAAACTTTAAAAATGCCTTCTAGCTTTTTGACTCCAAAGGACTTGAAGCAAGGAAACAACAATCACATCCTGTTTTGTCACTTAGTCATGTCAAGTGCCAGTGGCCACTACCATTCCTTCAGCCTTTCTGTTCATAATCCCAGCTGTTCTCATCATTAATTAACCCAAACATGCTGGCTCTATTTAGAACCTCTGTAGCTATAATTCAACTCTTAATACCGATAATTAATCATACCTTCTTGAAATTCATCTCTCCGCTGGAAATGGCACTGGTAACCAGACCTTGCTTTTCCTTTTTGCTCTTGTCTTTTTCTGTACCTATTATATTTAAATTGTTTTAACTTTTTTTACAAGTAGAAATACTCTATGGATATAGGCTGAAAAGTAAGAGTCAGGCAGAAAAGTTTAATTCAAGGAACTGAATTCTCAAACTAAATGAGTGGGGATTGGAAAGGTTTTATGGGGTTTTTGTTGTTCTAAGTATTAAAATGCTCAATAATATTTGGTTCATTTCTCTGTTTCACAGATAATGTTTTATCAAGAAAAGTTAAGAGATCAAATAGTTTACAAAAGTTTAATGACCAACTGAGTTTAGAATCGCTCATTATCTGTACAGCAAAGTGGGAAACTCAGAAGGGCTAGTTTTTAAATTAACTACCTGAGCCATGTGATCTAGCAAAGCCTCCAAAAAATGAAAAGTATGTTTAATCTGGTAATGACTTTTTTGATCTTTTACTACCAAAGCAACATAATTAGTGGGGTTTTCTGAAAAGTTTCTCTCTGAAATCCACTTAACTTTACTCTCAACAACATGCAAAAATTCTCCCTTAGACCTCTACAGCAAAAATTTAAGGCTGAGATTTTTAAGTTCAGTAAAGCCCAGGTGCCCAATGCCTACTGAAATCTAGTTGCAACAAATGGACTTTCCCAAAAGGCCAAGCCCAACGTGTTGTTTTCCAGTACTTTGAATTAAAGACACATTTTGAATTTACTGTGGCTGTAACTGCAATGACAGGAAGCTGTGATGTTTAAAATAGAACTCAATAATTTATTTTCAGTATTGAATCTTCCTGACACCTTGATGTTCCTCTTCTTCTCCACCCCTCATCTGCTTCAGCTCTTGAAAAGAGCCAGAAGGATCAATGCAGAGAGTGGCACCTTCAGCCTTTGGCCCATCTCCCTGCAACTGAGTTTTTTATATATATATATATATATATATATATAAAATATGGCAGGGGGCAGCGTTCCATATGCAACATCAGAATATCTCCTGTTGTACCACACTTTTATCCAGGCCTGCCGAGGGTTGGGGTTTTTGGGTTGGGATGGGGTTTTTGTACTCAGCTTGGGGGCCAGGGTGTGTTACTGGTATTGCAGAGAATGGATAACCATGGTTAGTCAGTGTTTGAACCCCTCAGTCATATCATTAACTCCCATCATTAACTTACTTTCCTAGCTGGTGTGGGGCAAAGGTTTCCTTTGTACTCTTAATCCAGTGTCTGTTTTGGAGTTACTGTGTGCTGTGATACTAACTGTGTAACTGTGGAGTTAGCTAGTGCTGTGATATTGATGTCTTTTACACCATAACTTATTCTGCCATTCCTAGTTATTCTATGGTGGAGTTTTTTGGGGTTGGTTTCCTTTTTTTTTTATCCTAGTGGAGCTGGCTTGCCCTCAGCTTCATTTATGGCCTGTAATTAGCTGTAGGTTTTCAGTAGCTTTATATGGACCTATAGTTAGCTTGGAGTCTTAGCGTCATAATTCAAAGTATTCTATCCTTAGCTCTCCTAATAGCTTCTCATAAATGAGTTCATATATATGTCACTTAATAATTATACATAATATATATTGAGCAAACCTGGCAATATAGCCACTCACAGCTTCTCCTAGACTCTCCAATGAAAATAGTTTTATTCTTTGTAATTTTGGGGGAGTTGTCTGGAGGTTTTGAGTTGGGTTTTTGGTTTCGGTTGTGTTTCAGTTTTGTTTGTTTGGATTTTTTTAATGATCCTGCTAATCTGTTGTTGTTAAATCCAGATGATGCTGGTACACGTGACAACCACTGAATGTTAGTGAAGTTATTTCTGTGCTCTTACTTTACTTCATTTCAGTTCAGCATCACTGTGAGCTGGTAGTTTTCCCACTTGCAATCACTGCTGCAGAGATTTAATGCAATGCCTCCATATTTTCAATACTGCACTTGGATCCAACTCGCAGGTACTTTCAACACTGGTCCAGTTCTAATCTGAATGCTTACCTTCAACTCATTTGGGGCAACTGTTTTGAATGGTAAAGCTTCCTGCATCAAAAGAAATCATGTGCATGTTTGTGTGTGGCCATCACTTCTTTGCTGTCTACAAACATATCCATGTGCCATATTACATCAGTTTTTATGTTTAAACAGTCCACATAAAACTCTCACCTAACAATGGTCATGAGCTGCAGAGCTCCAATCCATAGCTAAGATCAGCATATCTCATAGATGAAGATTTATTCAGATTTTGTTTGGTCCCATCTCAGAAAAGTCCATGCTAAGGTGAAGATTTATTCAGATTTTGTTTGGTCCCATCTCAGAAAAGTCCATGCTAAGGGAAATTTTCCACCTTTTTTCTGCTGCCACTCTCCCAGAGCATTTACAATGTTTGCTTACCTTGGGAGTCAGGAGGGAAGCAGTCCTTCCAGCCAAGCTGCTGTCTTAGCCTTTAATCAATTGTTGGGAGGAGCCATAGTTAAAACTCTAACTTTTTTCCTAGATTGATGACTTCCTGGCTTTCCTTCATTCTTTGTTTCTTGCTTACAATCCAAAACACATGCTTTTGGATCCACTGAAAGGTAGAGGGCTTTGGCGGCCAATGCAGCAAAAACTAAGGACACTTCAGCAGACTTCAGCTTAGGAGCTAAAGAGAACAGCAAAGGCTAATCAGAAGACTGCTTTTATCAAAATTTTTCTAGTCTGTAGTGCTGAAACATATAAACTGATCAATAGCTTTAAAAGCCTAATGGATTCTCTTTCTTTGAAGCTTTTTCCAAAATAGTCCTTTCCAAAGGCACAAGATAACTTTGGAAACTGCAGACAAACTTCCTAGAGCTCCATCTACTCTGCAGCAGTGCTTGTATTTATTCTATCTTCTTTCTGTTTTGGGCTAGAAGGAGATTGAGAGCCTAAAGAAGCAGCATTTCTGCAGAACAGTCAGCATAATTTTCTATGCTCCACCAAGGCACTTCTACTGCCTCTGAAACTGCCCTCTGGGACCAGGACACTGCTTTAGCATGACAGGCAAGACCTTCTTATTGGCAGATATTTGGCTTAACATAAGAAAATATATATTCCATCAGATAAAGGTGATAATCATAAACTTGGGGAAATATAGCTGAGGGGGGATAATAAAAGGTTTCTAAGTGGAAGAAAATGTCTTTTCCACTGAAAGATATTTTCACTTTTTACCAGAAATTACCTAACTCTTCCCAGTCTTTAACCAGAGTAGCCACAACCCAAATCCATTGCCTGCACCATTGTCTCTGTCCCTAAATCCAGGCACAACCAAAGGCAATGAGGAACAGCTACTATGATCAGTCCTACGGAGCCACATTTGCTCAGCTGCTCTGCCTTCAGCTCCAGTACTGCCCTCAGGATCTCTGCACTATGTTCCAGTACATAACGTAGATAGGCAGAAAATCATCACACTGCCTCAACCTAAAGGGGAGGCTTTTCCAATTTAGGATCATTGACTGCTTTTTGTCCCAAATGTTTGTTTCCCCTGTCCCTTTTTCCCCAACTCAAAAGTTGGAACCATTGTCAGGAATACATTCCTTCAGAAAAGGACAAGATAAGTCCTTATCTGTAAATCTGTAATCTGTAAATATACAGTGCCACTAAATCTAGTGACCTCCATAAACTTATGAACACATGCAGCTCACAGGGATGCTTTTTAATTCAGCTGATTAAAGGGCATGTAAACAGACACATAATGCTTAAACTGTGTGTACACATGGGTGTAGATTTTAAGGATGGAAGAGAATCTAAAAAATTCTTAAATTATACAAGTGTTTTAACCAGGTTTTACAAACTACTTTCACTTTGGACTTGGGCCCAGTGTAACCATATTATGATTTCTTGGCATGAAACTACAGCTCTGATGGTCTAATTCTTCTGTAAATGACTAACACTTTACCAAAAACTTTTGTTTAAGCACAGAAGAATGGGTGACCTTCAAACAAATCATTTTTCAGTACCTGAGAACCTGGCTAGGAACAGCGCAGGAAGCACATGGAGCTGGGCATTGTACCATGAACACCATCCCTTCCTTTTATCCTGCTCCTCCTGCCATCCTCAGCCCCTCTCTGATTGGTGTCACTGCAGGGAAGTATCTCCACCTTATTCTTTGTGAGAACAAAGGGCTTCGCTACGTGTTCGCAAACCAGTTTACTTCTTTCAGCTTTTCAAAGTGGTTCACCAGGTGGTGCTTTTCTTGCCAAAAGGGACTCTAAACTCAGCTCTTGGGTTCCTGTTGACTTCCAGACTCACTGGGAACTGGATGCCCTCAGAGTTCTGAGTAAAGCAAAAAGATGCATCCTTGGTTACTAAATATTTGTTATCTGCTATCACCCTTTAGCTGCTCATTGGTAGAATAGATAAGTAATAGGTAAATGCTTAGGGGAATGCCAAACAGGAAAACAAACATTTCCACATTTATGTGAGTTGTTTCCTTGCTCACAGAAGCCTAGGTTTCAAATACTGTTAGCATGGAGTTTTGCTATTCATGCTGGTGCTTTCTGAATAGGAGTGAAATAGGCTTTGCACTATAGTGGGGAAGTGTGTCAGTCTGGAGAGGGAGGCAAATATATTGGAATTAACACCTACACAATTCAGAAAACACATTTCCTCCAAACCATCAATAGCCTTGCACATTGGCAGCTTCTCTATCAAAAAATTGTTACAGAGACAGCTACTAACTGCCAGTCAGCTCAAACCTGTCAAGAGCTGCTGGATGAGAGGAGGTGGCATTCTCCTCTCCCTGAGAATCTGCTGAAGCTCCAGATTTCAGTGTAGTGCTGCTTCTGCTGGGCATCAGCACTCTGCTTTGACTCCTCCATATGCAATGAGTTCCTCAGTTACCTTCCTTCAATGCTAATTACCCAAATTCATATGCTGTGCTGCTGAGTGAAGCAGCTCCAGGTACAGGCTCTGTGGAGATGACTTCGCCCTCAGAAAATAGTCCAGATTTCAATCAGACTGTGTGAGTTAAAGCAACTGTGTGGCTTAGGTGGCCATTGATAGTGACCTTGGTGGGAGACTGTCCTAACAGCTTGGGATCTTGCTCAATGTCACTTCACCTGTTGGTCATCCACATGAAAAAAACTGAATACTTATACAATTGTGTGATCCTTCAACACCAGGCTACCTGGCCGTGAAATGCAGAGGATAGCAAAAGCTGCACTTAGATAATAAGTATATTAACTATTAAATGCATCCCCTGCAGCATGATGTTCTTTCCAATAAAACAGGCGGCAACAAAACCAGATTGCTCTGGATAGGGAGTGTTCAACATCCCAAACTGGATTTTGGCAGGATGAACATCACAAACAGCAACAGGCCCCCTCTTGTAACAAAAAAAAAAAAAAAAAAAAGAAAAGGCATTAAATTGTTAATGCCACTATATAATCAGAGCTTTGATCTTGATTCCAAGAAAAGAAACCTCAAGCCAGTAGTTGAAATCACTACAGCCAACACAGGCGTTGGTTTAATAAATGCACAGAATAAGCCTCATGGTGCTGTCTGGTGCTAGCTCTCCCACTCTGCTTGGCCTAAGCCTACCTACTCTAACTGAAAAGATCTAAAAGACTTGGACTTTATTGATCATCAAAGACCCTTAGGGTTTTTAAATGCATTCTAAAAACAGACGAGAACCCTCCATTCTCCAAGAAAGGATGTCCCATGGCAGACCCTAGCCATCACTCCCCTTGCTTCCCAAGCAAATCTGAAATGATTACAACAAAGTTTGCTTTGGTATCAATTTCCTAAATGGATGGCTCTGTTTGGAGCTCTCATTCTTTCACTGTCACGTTACATGTCAAATCCTAAATGTTCCAAATCTTACTTTTATGAAAACAAATTCATTTTCTTGCTACTTCTCGTGTGAGAGCATGTAGAAACTTGTCTAAGCATCCTTCAGACAGTGAAGAAATGGCTTCCAGGACTATACTTTTAGGGTATGTGGGGTTCTGTTAAACAGCCTTTACACCACTAAGCAGCAAGGGCAGCAGAGTGACAACAATGAAGGGAAAGATTCAACAACTCGAGGCATTGAAATGACTGGGATTACAGCAAAAGTTAAGTACTGCATGTCTTCAGTATTCAGGCCTTAAGTAACAGCTTTGCTTTTGCTGTAAATGATTCCTTGCACAGGTTCTGCTCTTCTTTTTGAGCTTCTGGTTTGTGGTGTATTTCAGAAAAAGGGTTCTATCAAAGGAGACCTAAAAAAGTATAAAATCAGGCCACTGCTTATGTTTATTATGTGAGAGGCAACTTGGGCATTTCTTGGCTGTAATCCACCCTCATTACATAGTGATATTTCCCCAAATTACTTTGGCTGCTTTAGGTGTCTATTTTTATGTTCCCTGCACTCACATCTGTTTCTTTCTTATCAGCAAATATCTATTCATTGGTCCTATCTAACTCTTTTACATCTATCTGAGTTAAAATGTGTGTCACTCATTAACTCAGGGTTTGTACACAAATTAGTCTCCTGTATCTCCTGTAGCAGTCTTATTATTTCTGCTTATTGCATCACCTAAAAATAAAATTATTTTTCATTTATAGCAGATATCTGAATTTGTATCCCTTAACTATTTCTCAGCTCAATCAGTCAATTTTTGCAATTAGACTGTGTTTGAAGTCCTGTGAGTTTGACAGAGTGCTTGTAGTCAGAACATTCTGTTTCCAAACTTGATGGGTCTGGGGAGTTTCCTGTCTGGAATTTGTTTGTTTGTTTGTTTGTTTGTTCTTTGTGCAAGAAGGTTTCTGACTATTTTGTCAGAACTTTGAGAATTATTTAGATAGAAAACTCACAGGTCTACAAGCCTGGATTGTATTACCCTTAACTCTGTAATGAAAACCCAGCATCTAGAAGACAGTTTGTATTTAAATATGATTTTTTAGTATGCTACTTGTTGTTGTTTCCTGTTTTAGAAATGTAGTTGAGAGATAATCTTTAAGCAGTATTGCTAGCTGCTCTGTAATGATGATTTCTCAGAGTACTAAAATATTCTCTATTGTAGGTATATTCACACTGTTTTTTCACACAATTTAAAAATCTTTCCACACATAATAAAATTTTCTGTAATAAAATAAGATGTTCATGGCAAAGCATTATATTATACAGAGAATGCACTATTACAAAAATGAAAGGTAACCTTGATCATCTAAATTAGGTCTTGAAAATTAATGCTGATCTGCAGTCTTTGCCCAGGAGAAATGTAATAAGTCTCCACAAATGGTTGCATCAGATTTCTAGCATTTTATCTAAGTAAGTCTGTAACTCTACCCCAATTGAATTATTAAATACATAGCACTCAAATATGGGTTTGCAATGGGGAGCATTTAATTTGTTTCAGTTACCTGTACAAATAATTCTAATCTACAGATCAGTTCCCCTGGTTTGAATAATGTGCATATTTAACACAGCAAAATGCATGTGTCTAAACTTGGCTTGCAGTGTTGAAGCAGCTCATTTAGACAGACAGATATTTGATGGATATTTAGTATCTCAGATGCGTTTATTAAACTAATTCTATTACGTTTATAATACTAATTCTATTTAGTTAAGTGTGCAGTTTTTCCAGCAGATACACAAAGAATATTAGTATCATGTCTGAGAAAACTACCTGTAATTAGTTCCTGTGAAAACTGACGTAAAAGTAACAGGAAAGAAATTAACTCTCATAATTCTTTGATAGTTGATGTTCTATTGTCTGATGCAAGAAAAAAAAAGGAAATAATTTATTACTACCATAATCTTATTTCTGTAGCATAGAAATTGCCTCACAATTACATAACCATGTCCTTTGCACACTTTGGTGCCCTTTGTTTGTATATCATCTCAGGGGAATCCATTAAGCCACTACTGGCAGCCAGAGGCAGGAATTTTACGTAGTTTTCATGATAAGCTTTTTCCCAAAAGTGCCCTGTTTCATGGTCAGTTCCTGGTAGCAGTATCATGTAAACATCCTCCACATGTTTTAGACCTCCTTCTCCATAAAATGTTGTCCCAGTAGTCTTCTGTGGCACTGCTGTGGATGGAGAGGCTTAGGGAATGCTTTACATTTATTAGAGTAAAATCTCTAGTCTCTTTTCCCTCCCTGTGAAGACAGAGTCCAGTCATCTCCAGGACAGGCAGTAAGTATAGTGGGATATCTTATTTCTTTCTGTTACCCTTGTTGAGCAGACAGAATGTTAGCAGACAATGACATGGTGAAACATAATAAACTACTACAGAATTCTTAAGGAAGCTGCAGATGCAGAATGAGTATTTGAGTTTGCTCTAAAATCCTTAACTGTAACGATGTAGGTGTAAACCCAAGGATTAAAAATTGGCTTACTTTATAAATCAGCTTGTTCTGTCCCACAGAATGTGAACTATCAGGGACAGCAAAGAGAGAGAAGTAATCCTTCTGTTGTAATCCTTCAGTTTGTAAAGAGAAGCAATAAATATAGAAATATAGGCTCATACTTTTAGATTAAAATTTGTTGTGGGCATAAAATACTCATCCAGGAAATTGGTTCATGAGTAGGAAACATGCTATCAGCTGTAATAATAATATATGGGACCATCTCTTGTATTAATTCAAAAGTGCTGTAAGTTTTGCAATATCTTCACTTGGGAGGGTTGGGAGTTAAAGCTCTAAGCAGAGCTTTATGAGGTGAAAGCATGTTGAACACTAAATGCACTTAGCAGCTGGACCAACAGCACAAGGCTGGCTCCCAATATGTGCCATTTACTGTGCAAATAGGGAGCTTGATAAGTAAAGGCCTGCTGGATGGCTGCAAAAACAAAAAAAAGAAAAGAGTAGGCATGTATGGAGTAAGAGAAGAATATAGCTGGATCAGCTGGATCATGTTTGAGCAGTAATGAATGAGAGAAATACGCTGTGTGTGTTCATCACCAGTCTTTAATGACACACAATGATTATTTTCCCATCATTCATGTATAGAGTGTTAATGGCATGTGCTTAGAAGCAGCTCCAAGAGAAACAAGCAAATTACATCACTTCCTCTTGAACTGTTCTTTAGAATTGGTTTAGAAATTAAACAGGTTAGCAGTAATGTGAAAGTGGTAGAGCAGAAAGTTACATAGTTGTCCAAAGGGATTAATCAAACACCTGCATTTAAAAAGGATTATTATAAATTGGTTACCTTCTAATGAGGCAATGGATGTTTCTAAGTGTGCATAAAAGTAATATTTTTTTCTTCTCTTTTTTTTTTTGTTAGATTAAGAAATGTGTTATATAATTAAAAAATTAATTTGCCAGTGATGCATCATCTGTAGCTAA